CACTTAGGTTGCTTCCGTGTCTTGGCTATTGTAAATAATGCTGCAATGAACATAGGGGTACATAGGACTTTTGGGATTGCTGACTTCAAGCTCTTTGGATAAATACCCAGTAGTGGGAGGGCTGGATCGTATGGTAGTTCTATTTTTAATTTTTTGAGGAATCTCCATACTGTTTTCCATAGTGGCTGCACCAGTTTGCATTCCCACCAGCAGTGTATGAGGGTTCCTTTTTCTCCACCACCTCTCCAACATTTGTTACTATTAGTTTTAGATATTTTTGTCATTCTAATGGGCGTAAGGTGATATCTTAGTGTAGTTTTGATTTGCATTTCCCTGATGATTAGTGATGATGAGCATCTTTTCATGTGTCTATTGGCCATCCGTATATCTTCTTTGGAGAAATGTCTGTTCATGTCCCCTGCCCATTTTGTGAGTGGGTTGTTTGATTTTTTTGTTGTTGAGCTGTGTGAGTTCTTTATATATTATGGAGATTAACCCTTTGTCGGATAAATAACTTGTAAATATTTTTTCCCCATTAGTGGGGGTTTTTTTGTTTCAATCCTGTTTTCCCTCGCCTTGAAGAAGCTCTTTAGTCTGATGAAGTCCCATTTGTTTATTCTTTCTATTGTTTCCCTTCTCTGAGAAGGCATGGTGTCCGAAAAGATCCTTTTAATACTGATGTCAAAGAATGTACTGCCTACGTTTTCTTCTAGAAGCCTTATGGCTTCAGGTCTCACCTTTAGGTCTTTGATCAATTTTGAGTTTATTTTGGTGAATGGTGAAAAAGAATGGTCAATTTTCATTCTTTTACATATGGCTTTCCAGTTTTCCCAGCACCATTTGTTGAAAAGACTTTCTTTTCTCCATTGTATGCCTTCAGCTCCTTTGTCGAAGATAAGCTGTCCATAGATGTGTGGTTTTATTTCTGGGCTTTCAATTCTGTTCCATTGATCTGTGCACCTGTTTTTGTACCAGTACCATGCTGTTTTGATTACTATAGCTTTGTAGTATGTTTTGAAGTCAGGGATTGTGATGCCTCCCGTTTTGTTCTTTCTTCTCAGGATGCTTTAGAAATTCGGGGTCTTTTGTTGCCCCATATGGCTTTTAGGATTCTTTGTTCTAATTCTGTAAAGAATGTCATTGGGATTCTGATTGGGATGGCGTTGAATCTGTAGATTGCTTTAGGCAGAACGGACATTTTAACTATGTTTATTCTTCCAATCCATGTACATGGAATGTCTTTCCATCTCCTTATGTCGTCATCCAATTCTCTCAGAAAGGCCTTGTAATTTTCATTATATAGGTCCTTCACTTCCTTAGTTAAATTTACCCCAAGGTATTTTATTCTTTTTGTTGCGATTGTGAATGGTATTGTGTTCTTGAGTTCTTTTTCTGTTAGTTCGTTATTGGAGTATAGAAATGCTACTGATTTATGCAAATTGATTTTGTACCCTGCAACTTTGCTGTAGTTGTTGATTACTTCTAACAGTTTTCCAATGGATTCTTTGGGATTTTCTATATATAAGGTCATGTCGTCTACAAACAGCGAGAGTTTCGTTTCTTCCCTCCCTATTTGGATTCCTTTTTCTTGCCTGATTGCTCTGGCCAGGACCTCCAGTACTATGTTGAATAAGAGTGGTGATAGAGGGCATCCTTGTCTCGTTCCTGTTTTCAGGGGCATGGGGTTCAGTTTTTGCCCATTGAGTATAATGTTGGCTATGGGTTTGTCATATATGGCCTTTATTATGTTGAGGTAGTTTCCTTCTATGCCCATTTTGTTCAGAGTTTTTATCATAAATGGCTGTTGGATCTTGCCAAATGTCTTCTCTGCATCTATTGAGATGATCATGTGGTTTTTATTCCTCAGTTTGGTGATGTGGTGTATCACGTTGATTGATTTGCGGATGTTGAACCATCCCTGTGTCCCTGGTATGAATCCCACCTGATGATGATGTATGATCCTTTTGATGAATTGCTGAATTCTGGTTGCCAAAATTTTGCTGAGGATTTTTGCATCTATGTTCATCAGTGATATTGGCCTGTAGTTCTCTTTTTTCGTGGTGTTCTTGTCAGGTTTTGGTATCAGCGTGATGTTGGCCTCATAGAATGTGTTAGGAAGTGTTCCATCTTCCCTAACTTTTTGGAATAGCTTGAAAAGGATAGGTATTAAATCCTCTCTGAAAGTTTGGTAGAATTCTCCAGGAAAGCCATCTGGTCCTGGGGTTTTATTCTTTGGGATGTTTTTGATTGCTGTTTCAATCTCTTTCCTTGTGATTGGTCTGTTCAAATTGTCTGCCTCTTCTTGAGTGAGCTTTGGGAGATTGTAGGAGTCCAATAATTTATCCATTTCCTCTAGGTTATCCATTCTGTTGGCATATAGTTTTTCCTAGTATTCTCCTATAATCAGTTTTATTTCTGCAGGGTCTGTTGTTATTTCTCCTCTTTCATTTCTGATTTTGTTTATTTGAGCTTTCTCCCTTTTTTTCTTTGTAAGTCTGGCTAGGGGTTTGTCAATTTTATTTATCTTCTCAAAAAACCAGCTCTTTGTTTCATTGATCCTTTCTACTGCCTTTTTCCTTTCAATAGTATTTATTTCTGCTCTGATTTTTATTATTTCTCTCCTTCTGCTGACTTTGGGCTTTATTTGTTCTTTTTGCTCTAGTTCAGTTAGGTGTAGTTTAAGATTGCTTATTTGAGATTTTTATTGTTTGTTAAGATGTGCCTGCATTGCGATGAATTTTCCTCTTAATACAGCTTTTGCTGTATCCCATATGAGTTGGTATGGCATGCTATCATTTTCATTTGTTTCCATGTATTTTTTGATTTCTTCTTTAATTTCTTCAATGATCCATTGCTTGTTCAGTAGTGTGTTGTTTAGTCTCCACATATTTGTGCCTTTCTCAGCTTTTTTCTTGTAATTAATTTCTAGCCTTATAGCATTATGATCGGAGAAGATGCTTGTTATTATTTCAATTTTTTTAAATTTGTAGAGGCTTGCCTTGTTTCCCAACATATGGTCTATCCTTGAGAATGTTCCATGTGCACTTGAGAAGAATGTGTATTCAGCTGTGTTAGAGTGAAGTGATCTATATATGTCTATTAAGTCCAATTGTTTTAGCTTTTCATTCAGCTCCACTATTTCCTTGTTGATTTTCTGTCTGGATGATCTGTAAATTGATGTGAGTGGGGTGTTGAGGTCCCCTACTATTATTATGTTGTTTTTAACATCTTCCTTTAGGTCTGTTAATAGTTGCTTTGTGAATCTTGGTGCTCCTGTGTTGGGTGCATAGATATTTATAAGCGTTATTTCTTCTTGATGAAGTGTCCCTTTGATCATTATATATTGTCCCTCTGTGTCTCTCTTTACCTGTCTTATTTTGAAATCCACTTTGATATAAGAATTTCAACACCTGCCTTTTTTTTCTTGCCATTAGCTTGAAGTATTGTCCTCCACCCCTTCACCCTGAGCCTGTGTTTGTCCTTGGGACTGAGGTGTGTTTCTTGGAGGCAACAAATTGTTGGGTCTTGTTGTTTAATCCATTTTGCCACTCTATGTCTTTTTATTGGAGAGTTCAATCCGTTTACATTGAGAGTGATTATTGATGCATGTGGACTTAATGCTGTCAATCTGTCGCTCATTATCTTGTTTTCCTGAATTTCTTTTCCTGTGTGCTTTAGCCTACCCATTTAATACTGCAATTTCTTATGCTGGGTTTCTTAGATTTTTCCTTATTTATGATTTGTGACTCTGTTCTGTATTTTATTTTAGTGTCTACCCTGAAGTTTGTATTTAGAATCTCGTGTATAATATAGTCTATTCTCTGGTGGTCTCTTACTTATTTGGCCAATACTGATTTAGACCCTTTGCTCTTCCCCTCCTAAATAGTTATTTTCATTTCTTATTCCAACTCGTGTTATGAATTTGTAGTTAGAGTGATAAGATCGTCCTTGCTTTGGTAGTTTCCTTACCTTTACCCTAATGCTATAGTTGAATATTTGCTATCCTTTTCTGGTTCTATCCATCGGTCTCCCTAGTCTGTGGATTGTGACCCCTTTCTCCCTTTTTTCTTTTTTCAGGTATGAGAGCTATCTTGAGGATTTCTTGTAGTGGAGGGCTTTTAGTTACAAATTCCCTTAACTTTTGTTTGTCTGGAAAAGATTTAATTTCTCCCTCATATCTGAAGGAAATTCTTGCTGGATAGAGTATTCTTGGCTGAAGATTTTTATCTTTTAATGCTTTGAATATGTCACTACATTCTCTCCTAGCTTGTAAAGTTTCTGTAGAGAAATCCACTGAAAGTCTGATAGGGCTCCTTTATAGTTTATTCTCTTCTTTTTTCTTACTTCCCTGAGTATTCTTTTTTTATCTTTCCTTCTTGCCAATTGTACTACTATGTGCCTTGCAGTAGGTCTTTTTACACTGACAAATCTAGGAGATCTGAAAACTTCCTCTACACACATTTCTCCATCAATCCCTAGATTTGGGAAGTTCTCTTCAATAATTTCGTTAAGCACACTTTCTGCTCCATTTTCCTTTTCCACGTTCTCAGGAATTCCTATGATCCTTAAGTTCTTACTCCTCATTGAATCCACTATCTCTTGGAGATTTTCCTCATTTTTTAAAATTCTTAGTTCTCTTTCTTCCTCTGTCTGGAGCCATTCAGCCTGTCTATCTTCAATTATGTTAATTTGCTCTTCTATGGTGTCTACATGGGCATTCAGGGAATCCGTATTCTGTTTTATCTGGTCCATTGTGTTTTTCATCTCTAGTAATTCTGTTTGATTCTCCTTTATGATTTCAATCTCTTTTGTGAAGTAACTCCAAAACTCATTGGCTTGTTTCTCTATCTTTCTCTCTACCTCATTGAGTTTTTTGATTATAGCTGCTCTGAACTCATTATCACTTAGTTTACCTAATTCCAAGTCCTCAGGACTTAATTCTATGTTTTTATTGTTTTCCTTCTGGTCTGGGGCTTTTATAAATTGCTGGATGGTAGAGGAGCGGTTTTTTCGCATGGTGGTAGAATTTGGTTGCAGTTACAGTCTGTTGCCACTAGATGGGGGTTGAGAGCCGTGTGTTCTGAGCTCTCTGCCTTCAGGCAAAATGGCAGCGCCCAGTGGCTTTGCTGGGAGGGAGGGGCTGCTATTCTTGCACGCCAATCTGGATTCAGATCAGTTCTGTTCTCTGGTCTCACGAGGCCCTGGGTTTATGGGGTTGCCACTCACGGAAGCTTTCCCCCATCAGCGGGTTTCCACTGAACCAGTGGCAGGAATCCTGGATGATCCCCTGGTCGCACGGCCCCTCCCCGGCTCCTTCCCGGACCGATGCAGCAGCAATCGCAGACTCTAGGGGAGGGAGTGACATTCTCTCCTACCCGTTCCAGCACCTCTGAGGCCATCAGCAAGGTCTATGATCTCCGCCTTCTTGGTATTGTAGGTCTCTAACATGTTGGCATTAGATTTATTCTCTGAAATTCAGTTTTTCCAATCCTTTGTTGTATTTTGGAGGGGAGAGAATCCCAGGTCAGCTCACCCCGCCATTTTGCTCTGCCCCTTTTGTTGTATGTCTTGAAAGCTTGGCTTTGTGACCTCTCTGGTCTCCATCATCTGGAGGATGCTCTTACTAGCATGCATCTTGTCAGCCAGTCAAATAGACTGGGGTCCCCAGTCTTTCTTTCTTTGGCTTGAATCAGCTCTCAGGGGAGTTTGTCATAAGGGGCCTCAGTTCACAAGGGACCTTTGTTGGCTCAAACTTCTTTGCTTGTTAGTGCTAGAAAATCCGATTCCAGCAGCATCTGCCCACTGTGACAGATTAGTGGGTTTTTGATTGCAGGTGTCCCACATCCCCGTGGGAGACTGGAGACCTCATTCTCACTACACCGACCTTACCAGCTGTGCAACAAGGCCTTTGCTCTCTTAGACTATTTTCTGGCGTGAACTTTCTGGATCTTGTGAAGGCTCCTTTTGCACTCTCTTTTGGGGACGCCTCTTGCATCCATGGTTAAGCTATAAAAGGGTTATTGGTTTGAATCGCTATTAAAATTCTACTTGTCAGTAGCCCTTAAATTAGAAAAACTTCTAAATTAGAAACATTTTTAGAGCCCTCTTATCATAAACAGCTGTTTTATTGGTACCGATGGAAAGACCAAATTAAAAAGAAATACAAAGAAATAACAGCTAGCCTCAAGAACACAATGGAATTTGGGGTCTCGGCTTCCCCTCTTGGTCTTACAGATGCTAATGAGAGCATTAAGGTAATTACTAAAACAGTGGAAACAAGCCAAGGGGAGGGTCAAGGGACTCTTCTCAACAAGGTGGAAATTTTTAAAAGGGTTTTTAGGAAATAAGGTAAATAAAACAAATATTGATTAAAAAAAATAGTGAAAGGGGGGAAACTAAGAGGAATCAGAAAGGGAAGCGTCATGAGACTCATCCCGGCAGGATAGGAATCTTCAGATGGTTATTTTTTAAAAATGGGGTAAGTAAAATGGACATTAATGGGGTTTGTACAGAGTTCATTGACCTCCAAGGAGACTGGGCCTGGGTCCTACACGCAAGAATGTGTCTGGGCATGGGGCCAAAGATGGCCACTTCAGCCCTGACTCTAAGGCACAAGTTACAAAAAATATGTCCTGCGTCATGTTCCTTGTCTGGGCTGGCCACTCCAACAGGCACCTGACTGGACTTTAGAAATATCCCATCCGTAAGAACAAAAAAGATAGAAGCTCCCCATCCGTGGAAACAAGAAGAAATAACTCAAAGTATCCAAATGTCTGAAAGCCTGAGTCAAAACCTAGAGAAACCTTAAGATAAAAGCGAGTCACAGGCATACAACAAGTGGAAGTCTCACTGAGGAAAGGACACTTTGACTCAAACCCGAACAGTCGGCACTCCCACCCACTGTACAAACTATTGGGACTTCCCTGGCTGATTGTGGTATGGATGTCGTTAGTACCGATTTGTTGTTCCCATTTATCCCTGCTCCTCATTCTGTTTCCCTTTATCAATAAACTTTGATTGCTTAAACAAGCAAGTAGCCTTGGTGGTACCTGTCATTCCTTGCCCTTTTCGGCTGCAGACAACATGGTTAAAACAAAGGTTTTAATACAGCACTAGTTAAGATTGAGTGGGCCAAAGGGACCCCCTACTGGCTCCCACCACCATTAAAGGGCCCCAAACAAGTCCACTCTATTTACCTCAGTCTGGAAAATTTAAAAAGCTGGAAGGCAGAAATCACAATGAGAAACCTGACCAACAATCACTTGGGGCAACTGTAAGGCCAGCTAAGTTAAAAACTGACAAAAGGGCAAAGGTCCCTCGGTTCAAACTCTCACTGGAGACACAAATCCTCTTGCACAGGAATGAGTAAAATGACCAGAAGATGGGACTCCTTGATGCAGGAACCCCACAAACTGTGGTCCCAAAACCCTTTGGTGGAACCCTGACTCAGGCTACAATTAGATTGAAAAAAATGCTAGATGTAAGGGCTGATAGGATTATAAAGGTTGGAATTTTGAGCTAGTATTATATGAAGAGGGTATGTCAGCTTGCCTGAGTGTTTTTGGAAATAAATGTTATATCTGGCTGGGAACACTTCCACTACCCAGTATTATAAGAGCAAGACTTATTGAAGTCCTAATGGAAGCTATGATTAGAGATGTAAGAGTTGATGGAATTAAGATAAAATGTTGTAGAAGAATTGGTGTTACCACACAAAAGCGGGGTTCTCTGCCTGATGCACATAAACAAGGCAATTACTTATGGCATCAGCCTTTGGGGGAGAAATCAGCTTTTATTCTGCAAGGTCAATCTGAAGGGAGACAACAAGGCTGATGACCTGTTCCCTTTATCTCTCCCCCTTCAAACTACAACTAAATGGACATTTGTTGGTCAATGGAGGATACTCACACAGCACAACAGGGTGCCTGAGAGACCCACATAGCTATACATCTGAAGATGGATGGACTACCCCTGGGAAGGTGGTGGAGATAGGTGAGCATTCTCCAGCCCCCAGAAACCCTGTGCACACATGTGACTGTTCTCCTGGCTGGTGTGCCCATAGTACCGCTGCAGCCCCGAGGATGTGACTGCCCCTTAGTGCCACTGTGAGAACAGGAGACGGCAGCCCACTGCTCCCACATGACTGCTTTCCCATCCAGTGGGAGAGCCCACAGTGCCACCACAGTCCCAGGGAGTGTCCCAGGCTCAGACCATGTAGGGAGGCCCTGACCACCAAGCACAATGGCCAGTGTGACGTAGGAAGAGGTGGCAGCAGATCTGAGTGCCCAGGTGAAAAAGTTGCCAACTGCCACAAATGCCATTAGTAATGCTGTGGCCCTGAAGGTGGATGCGGATCTCAGTGGAACTGTGAGAGCACGTAGCAGCAGCCGTGAGCCCCTGGATGATGGCTTTCCCGTCGAGTGGGAGAGCCCACAGTGCCACCATGGTCCCAAGGAATGGTCCAGGCTCAGATCTTGTTGGGAGCTCCCGCCCACCAAGCACAACTGCTGGTGCAACCTAGGAAGAGGTGGCAGCAGACCTGAATGCCTGGGAAAATGATTTCCTGGCTTCCACAAATGCCCACAGTACTGCTGATGCCCTGAAGGTGGGAGTTGATCTCAGCAGGACTGAGGGAGCAAGTGGCAGCATCCCTGAGCCTCTGCATGATCACCTTCCCATCTGGTGGGAGAACTCTCAGGCCACTGCAGTCCCAAGGAGTGGCCCAGGCTCAGACAGGCACAGCTGCCAGGGATCACAGTGGGCACAGAATGCACAGTGCCTGCTCCCATTTGGTGGCAGAAAGTGGAACCTGCAACCAGATAGTACCACTATGCAAAGGCACAAATCCACTCCATCAAATAGTATGAAGAGGTATATTAATACTCCATACTAGAAAGAAAATGACAAACACCCAGAAATCAATCCTGAAAGAACAGAAATTTATGATCTGACAGAGAATTCAAAATAGCTATCATAAAAAACCTCAACAAGTTACAAGAAAACTCAGAAAGATGGTTCAATGAAATCAGGAATAAAATGAATGAACAGAGGGAATTCTTCACAAAAGGGATTGAAAATATAAAGAAAAACCAAATTAAAATTCAAAGAAATAATAGCTGAGAACTTCCTAAACCTGGGGAAGAGGGTGGAATTATAAGTAAAAGAAGCTAATAGAACTCCTAATTACATCAATGGACAAAGACCTTCTCCAAGGCATATAATATTAAAACTGGCTAAGTCAACGACAAAGAAAAAAGATTAAGGGCAGCAAGGCAGAAGAAAATAATTTACAAAGTAACCCCTATCAGGCTTTCAGCAGATTTCTCAGCAGAAACCTTACAGGCTAGGAGAGAGTGGAACGATATATTCAAATTCTGAAAGACAAAATTCTTCAGCCAAGAATTCTCTATCTAGCAAAATTATCCTTCAGATATGATGGAGAAATAAAAACTGTCCCAGATAAACAAATGCCAAGAGGGTTCTTCACCACAAGACCCACCCCTCCCCCCACACGTAAGAAATGATCAAAAAGGCCCTCATACCGGAAAAGAAAGAAAGAAAGCATTTACAAAGCCTTGAGCAAGGAGATAAATAGGCAGACAAAATCAGAAAATTTCAACTCTGTATTAGAACAGGATAGCAAACAATTATAACATTAAAGAGAAAAGGAAGAAAAACATCAAGAATAAGTATAATTGCTTCATTTTACCCACAAACTCACAACACAAAATGGAATAAGTTGTGACAACAATACTTAGATGGGGAAGAGGTAAGGGATGGAACCTGTCTGGACTAAGGAAATAGATTATGAGAAAATGGACTATCTCACCTATGAGATCTTTTATACAAATGTCACAGTCACCATTAAACAAAAAATTGGAAGAGAGACAAATGATAAATAAAGAGAAAAGTGAGAAAACAATTATAGACAACCACCAAACTGAATTGGCAGTCTGAAACACATGGGACAAGAAACAAGGGAAATACAGAACAACTGGAAACCAAGTGATAAGAGGGCAGCATTAAGCCCTCATATATCAATAATCACTCTAAATGTAAATGGGTTGAATTCTCCAATCTAAAGTAATGGAGTGGCGAGGTGGACTAAAAAACAAGACCCAATATCATGCCGTCTCCAGGAAACACATCTCAGCTCCAAAGACAAACAAAGGCTCAGAATGAAGGGATGAAAGACAATACTCCAAGGTAATGGCAAACAAAAAAAAGCAGATGTTGCCATACTTATATCAGACAAAGTAGACTTTAAGATGAGACAGGTAAATAGAGACAAAGAGGGCAGTATATAATGATCAAAAGGACACTCCACCAAGAAGATATAACACTTATAAATATCTATGCACCCAACCCAGGAGCACCAAAGTACAAAGAGCAACTATTAACAAATCCTAAAATAGGTTATTAACAACAACACAATGATAGTAGGGGATCTTACCCCCCCCCCCTTACATCCATGGATAGATCATACAAACAGAAAGTCAACAAGGAAATAGTGGATTTAAACGAAAAACTAGACCAGATGGACTTTATAGATATATAGAGAACACTCCATCCAAAAACAGCAGAATACACATTCTTGTCAAGTGCTCACAGAACATTCTCAAGGATAGACCATATGGTTGGAAACAAGGAAAGCCTTAATAAATTTAAGAAAATTGAAATAATAACAAGCATCTTTTCCTATCACAATGCTATAAAGCTGGAAATTAATTACAAGAAAAAAGTTGAGAAAGGCACAAAGATGTGGAGACTAAACAACACACTACTGAACAAGCAATGGATCATTGAAGAAATTAAAGGAGAAATCAAAAATATCTGGAGACAAATGAAAATGAAAATACACCATACCAACTCATATGGGATGCAGCAAAAGTAGTCCTAAGAAGGAAATTCATAGCAATACAGGCCCACCTTAACAACAATAAAAATCTCAAATAAGCAATCTTAAACTACACCTAACAGAACGAGAAAAAGAAGAATAAATGAAG